GAATTTGACTCTGAAGTCCAGCGGGGTGCCTTGACTTTTACCTAAGCGACTTGTTTTTTTAAGTTTCGGCTTAGCGGGGCTTTTTGTCTCTTTCTTTTTTATTTTCAATCATTTTGAATAAATCGTGTGATCCTGAGACTTTCAGCTTGTTGGAAGTCTAGTGACTGCCTTATCGCTTGGTTTGTGAGGGATAACCATTGTGGTACCGTCATATTTTGTCCTCCTGTTGTGCGAGAGATACTCATTGTTGTATCGTTCTCCTTGATGCACACTACTGATAGATGAGAGTTAACCATTGCGGTTTTGACTTTCCTCAGCCTTTTGATGGATAACCATTATTGTATCTTTAGATACGCGCTCTTGATGAGTTTGAAATGCTCAATCGGATTAATTGAAATCTACCCTGCCCCGGGTTAAATGTGAGGGTTTTTTTTACAAGAAAAGAAATTCCTACTTCAAGGCTCAATAGGGTTAACGAGGGTTTCACTCCCTTATATCTCCGGTGTTTGGGAATTTGAAATAATGCCCGTACATTGTCAGCAGGGTTTTTTATTCAAAAGCACATTGTTTGAAACTTTTGGCATATTACTCATCATCCTCCCTCAGAGGTATTTTGATTTATTTAAAAAGAGTTAAGTATAAAAAATAAGCAAATTTTGCATACAAGAAAATACTGAACCAAAACAAGAAAGATTACAAATGAGAATGCAAATGTAATTTGAAATTGCCACGTTGAGGAGACTAAACTCCGTATGGAGTTGTTGCTTCAGATGATGCTCCGGCAGTCTTGACATTCACTGAGTCAATGGAGACTTCAAATCCGACCAGCTGGTGCGAGAACAATGACCTTTACATCAAGAAGGTCTTACACTTCATCTTTGAATGGTTTACAACCTTCAGTTGAATGGCCAGATGCCCCAGCATGGTAATTACGAATGACATTACCTCGAAAGATATGATGAACACTTTATCAAGCGAACTTGCATAAACTGTATCACAAAGTGTCTTCTACCACAGTGAAAACATGCCAACCATCTTCTACTACACAGAAGAGAAAATCAGTCTCTGAATTCTGGAGCATCTCCTACTACACAAAAGAAGCACCACCTTCCATTACATGGAAGCAAAAATTCAGAAACTATACCAAAAGAATCTTCTACTACACGAAATAAAGTAAACTCGGAATGTAGAATTCGAACTTTGAGGTATTTTTTTCTACACAACAACAGATGTCCAAGAACTAGGTGTCTTATGCTTCTTCATCTTAGAAGAATCCCCATATTCTACTACACAGAAGAAGCACTCAGTTGAGGAGAAAGAGTCTGAAACGGTTTGCCAAACATGGGTTAAACCTTGGAAAAGAAGTCAGTCAAGTGCCAAACTTCATACTTCAACCTCTTGTAGTCTTCAATATCATAACCAGGTGCCCCAGAATAGGAGACACATCAAGCATTTGCATCGAAATTAGGGGAGAAATTTGTGAGAGGATGAGCAAAAGCATGAAGCTTAATCAACTGAGCTTCCAATACACAAGGAAGTAACTGGATACAAGGTATAGAGATTGTATCAACCTGCTTCTCAAGCTTTTCTCTATCTTTGCTGATAAGCTTTGCCTCTTCACTCGGAGACCAGAAACTAGTTGCTGATGAGAAAATCTAGGAACACGAAGTTCTGGGCGAGACCCACAAAGTATCTCATGATTTGAAAAAATGTCCCATAGGCTGGAGATGAATGACAACTCATGTTGCAACAGCGTATACAAGACCACTTTCCTTTGCTGACATTGTCTTCAGAACTTCCATACCCGACTCAACTGAGTCTCTAACTGGTTATCTTTTCCTCTTTAAGGATTCCTGACCATGGGACAAGATCTGTATGTCCATGATAAACAACCCCATCTAATTTTTTCCCATCTCATCCAATTCCCCACAAAGTTATTCCATGGATTTTTCAGACAACAGAGCGATGAGAAGTCAAGATTCACTGTTCTGACAAGAGAATACCGAGTCTGAATAAGGATTCCCCATTCTGAGTACCTTTTGAGTACCTGTTATGGATGCATGAAGATGCATGAGGTGAATGAGCGGATGCAACGCCATGTTAAAACATCTCTTTTTTATGCATACAATCTTTCACATTTCTTTTTTTTGTGTAAAATAAGCATGCTATGATGCAAGGTACAATGACATAGGTTCAAAAGTTCAGCACAACATGGATAATAATTGTACAATCAGATAACATCTGTACAACCCTATGGATAACTGATGTATAAATCTGCTGAATAACTGTTGTATAGTTTCTGAACATGCTGAATATATCAGGATCAAAGGTCCATAACATAACCAAAGAAGATCATCCCGAATACCGAATCCAGAAACTTAGAAAATAAGTCTGAGACCCACATAGTCATCAACAGAACAACGGTCACCATCAGAACATAGCCACCACCTGTACCTGTAATAATCAATTCCCTCCCTACTCATAGGTGAAAACTAGGTCAGGGTAAGCAAAGGTAACTTAAAATTACAGTTTCGCTTGAGAGTACTATCGTCGTACACCTACGTGATAATGATAGCAAGTCATTAAAACCTCATCTAAGCGTGGACGACATAACCGTCTAGGGTAATCTACATCCCCTATCCGTCATGTTCCACTTTATTCCTAGTGTTCCTTTTGTTTGTCACTTGGTCCGCGTATTGGGCCCTTTACCTTATAGTAACACTCATCCAACAAAGAAACACGGAAACCAACACAGTAGCAGTACATGGAAAACAATAAAGATGCAATGCAAATATATGCTAAGATAAACATGTACAAAATGAACAAGCTATAAAGCATAAAAATAAACACCCAATGAAAAGAAAACAAGAGCTAGGATCGACTCCGGGATGGACCATCAATAGGTTAATATGTCCCCAATGAAGTCGCCAGCTGAAACAACTGGATGAAAAATCAACTGATAATGAAATCAATGAAGTCTCCATCGAATGTTTTTTATCCCACAGGAAGGGAAAGGTGAACATCGAATAAACCTGAGAAGGGTGAAATCAAGGTCAAACGACCGAGAGATCGGGTAAGGGAGTCTGTTACACAAGGGGAAGGTATAAGCACCCCACACGCTCGTAGTACTCTACGGTACCCACTCTTGTTATTTTAATCAAAGGGTGTGTAAGAATCTATATCTAAGCTATACAGGGGATGCATGAAAAAGAAAAGAGAAAGTAATGTAGGGAAAATAAAAAGTTGTGCTCGTTCGGGCCCTACCCCGATGCCTACATATCCCTTTTAAGGAATCAGAGCAGTCGTAGTTCAGCTCAAAAGATTTTGTTGGTTTTTATTTTTTAATGAGCAATATTAATGTCGCCTTCTTCCGCAACTCGGTCTTTGGAGACTCACGCGTCAACACAGAAGGAAATTAACATGTTATTTCTGAAAAGTTTGAAAGAAAAGCCCGAAGGCGCAAAAGAGTTTGAATTGGTTGATATCTTTTACCTTAAAGAAGGATTTGGAAGTTGTTAGATGTTTTATGCGTTTTCAAGAAAAAGAGTTTTAGTCTTAATGCAAAGCTGCAAAAGAAAGAAAAACATCAAAGGGAGACTAACCTAGAATCTAACCCTAATGTTATTATCCAATGATTGATTCTAAAGTTGAGTTTTGAAGGGAAATCTCTACCCTATGTTGACATGCTTGGATAACAATCCTAATGTCTATCTCAAATCATCATCTATAGATGAATCAAGAAGTCCTAAAGGAGCATAGCAAGGGTCTATTATCATCTATAGTTGAATCGAGAGCTCCTAAGGGAACATGCCGAGGGTAAATCATCTCAGAACATGTACACGAAGACGAAATCAAGAAAGCAAGCCAATAAGCTCAAGAGAGCACACCTAGATAGGTCCTATCTAGGTTAGCATTCCAAATAAAGTCTAACAAAAGTATCCTCTGGGGGACATGCAATGATAGAGAAGTCGTGATCTCAATTCCTAAATTGAGTGAATCATCGATCAACAACTAAGGAAAGCAATAAAATCCTACAGGGAGCATGCACTGAGAGCGAAGTCGTGATCTCAATTTCTAAATTGAGTGACTCATCGATCAACAACTAAGGAAAGCAATAAAATCTTATAGGGAGCATGCATTGAGAGCGAAGTCGTGATCTCAATTTCTAAATTGAGTGACTCATCAATGAAAAACCAAGGAAACAAACACACGCACAACACATATAGAAAATGAAATATGGAATGCTTACTACAGGTCTTTAAACAGTGACTTCAAGCGCATGCTCTTTATTTCCTACTTCTCATGATATCTAGAAATCAGTAAAGTGCGAAATGAGATAAACAAGAGAAAATACCAAACGGATATCAATCCGCAGCAAAGTGTATTAAAACAAAGAAACCCAGAAAACTTCGAGTAAGCTTCGACAAGCAAAGAAAATAGTCAGAAATCAAATTCCCGAAATAAGCATCGAAATGTCGTCGATGTGAAAATAAATCACAATCGGAAACTCAAGCATATCCGTATATCACACAATAAACCCGCATAAGACTCAAACCTCAACAAGCAAAGGTGAATCACAAGATAGGGAAAAATTATTACTAAACATAATTGATAATAGAAAATTCTAAACAAAATTCTAAAAGAAATTCTAGAAAAATTCTACAATACTCTACTATTTTTTATTCATACATTTTTATCAACAAAATCTACTAAAATTATTGGAAAAAAAAAGTGACTCAAAACAATTAATATAAACTACTACAGAGGGGGTGTATAACTGGATTTAAATGGTGCGACTAGAAAATAGGAGCCGAAGGCCCATCAACTCAGTCCAAACAATTATTCATGCCAAAAATTGCATACTGGGCTCCATCTTGGGTGGTGTTTCGGTCCAGTTCACATACTCTCCAAAAAATAAACCAAGCCCAACAAAATTCAGATCAATTCACATTTTTTTACTACTGAGTAAAAATAAAGAGGAAATAAACAAATTTAAACGGTGGAATGAAAATCGTGAGGAAACTTAGGGTTAACGCTGTGACGGTTCAGTTTCTTACCTTCTCCGTTCAAACCAAACACAACATTATCAAGTTTTTCTCCGCCTCTATATTTCTCAGCCCGATGACTACAAGCATAACCCCATCACCCCTCCTCCTTATTTTCCATCGCTTATACCTTCCCCCCGCTTCGATCACAGCTCCGATCAAAGATCAACATCCGGCCACCACGAAAGACCGTCTCGTCTCTCTTAATTCATCTTCGTCTTGATCCGCGAATAAGCTTCCTCAACTTCTTCTTTAACCGGCTTACAGTTGATTCCATGCATGATTTGTAAGGGCTTTTGTTCATCCAATTATGCTCTATGATATCGCATTAAGAACATAATAAAAACACCAGAGAAATCGTATCTTTGATGATGAAGATGAACAAAGAAGAGCCGTAAAGGCAGGTGCGTTCTCGAGATCTATTTTCTTCTACGTCTTCTTTTAAACGTGAATTGCTTATGCGTTTTTGAATTGGTTGTTTCATTTTACGTTCATGGTAATCTGTTGTTGATAACAGGTGAAGATTGGCGATGAAGATTCGTTTAAATTATTTGTTGAAGAATCACGAAGGATTCAATAATTGCAGATGAAGATGCGTCAAGACTGTGTTGAGAAATCGCGAAGTTAAAAAGATTGAAAGAGCTTTAATGGAGGATTCTTCAGAGGATGAATAATGGTGAAATGGTCCGTGAGAATGATGATTAAGAAAAATGGAGGGGAAAGTGAAGGTTGAAGATGGAGAGTGGTTATGGAGAGAGAGAGAGCAGAGAGAAGTTTGAAGGAGTTTTTTCTGTGAACTGTGAAGAATGATGAAGACGAAGGTGAGAGGAGGAGAGAAAGTTTCTGTGATGGAGATTCCTCTGCAGAATCGTGAAGCCCACACTGCCTGTTATATCTGGTGAGTCTCCTCTATATTCTGTTAGAGCTGTTAGAAGTTAGTTAGGAATTGGTTAGAGTTAGTTAGGGGTGAGGGTTAGTTAGTTAATTTGTTAAATTCTGGTAGAGAGTTTGATTCTTTTCTCTGAAGTTTGTTACCAAGGATCCAACCTTAACCCTCTGATCTTAGAAGCTTATTATAAAAGGAACGAGTGAGATGGATTTGATAGAGGTTAGTTATATGTCTTTGAATTCAGTGATAGACAGTTAGGATGAGCTGTGAATCTATTCTGTTATTGAGTTATTTTGGTAAAAAAAACATTCTGTTAGAAAGTTAGTTACTGTGTTAGAATTCAATTGAAATTTGAAACCCTACTATAAGTTATGAGATGAACCTTGCCTGTCACGCTTCTAATAACTTCCCTTTTATTTTTTATTTAATTTTGCCCTTGTTTTTGTGCAGGTTATCTGAACTGGATTAATTATTTGGATTTATGCAGGATGGCTTTGGTTCCAGATTTTGAAGCGGACATTTTCTCCTGCTGTGAATAGACATTAGCGTGTAGGTATGATTTTGTGGTAATTGTAGTTAGTTTTCTGAATTTCCTTTTTGTAATGGCTTGACTTGGATATGTGGTTTTTTATGTACAGGCTGTCAAGTCATGATGAAGGTAATATTGTAGGCCTGGTGTAGAATTAACGGTTGGTTAATACAAAAAGCCGCTGTAGGTTCATGACATGGATGGAATTTCTCGGTAACACATCTTTAGCTTTATTTTTGCATTTTGGCATAACCTGATCTTAATGAACTTACGGGAACATGATAGGGCAGCAATGCACATTAATTCCTTTGTGTTCTTCCGGTCTAAGCATGGTGCATGAGATGCTTATGGCGTACAGGTAAGTCCATCTGATAATTGACCCTTGGAGCTTTAAGGGAATCATGGAAATCAGTTGAAGAATAAAAATTAGGAATAGGTTTAGGAGCAAAGAAAAACATAGGTTTAAATTTTAGTAAAATTTTGTGTATTTTTGGTATGATGTAATGTATTGGAACCTTGAATATACTTGAATGGACTCTTGAATTTTAACCTTGAATGATGACGGATATTTGTAAAAAATGATGATGAGTTGTACTTGAAACTTGGAATTTTGATAACTGAGATGTCTTTTGTAACTTTGATGTAATGACTTGAATTTGCAATGAACAAAACTTTGTAAGTTCTTGCATGACAAATTTCCAATTATTAAAAACATTTCTCTCATTAAATTTGAGCTTGAATGAATACTTGAATGAACTTGAGACAACCATGATAAACACTCGAATGTTATTGAATGAATCTTTTTAACTTTTACCTTGGGATGAACAATGATGTGGAATGATCTTGAAAATAACAACTTGAATCATGAATAAATTTACTTGATACCATGTACTTTAATCTCAACTTATGTTCATATGCCATCTTCCTTCGCAAGAACTTATGAACTAAACCTTCGGGCACACTGTTTTTTTAATCAAGTTGAACCTTAATCCAAGTTTGAAACCAAAGTTCTTGAACAAATATCCAAATGATAGCTTGTACCAATTATTCGTAATGCCTTGACCGTCAAGAAACCAAACTTATCATACAAAATATCATGACATACCCAACCCTAATTGATTGACTTATAGATAAATGAACTTAATGCAACAATGACATAGTCAGCAACCTGTAGCCCAAGTATCACATGCGTTTTGGATTGATAACAAATCTTGATCCTTTAGAGAAATATTAATACACCTCTAGTATTGACAAAACCTTGACCAAATGATAAGCACAATAATAGAATGAGGTGTCTTGATTCAAAGATCATGTATGCGAGATCACAACCTTAAGTTATTAACAAGAATACCCTGCAACCTGTTGTTCAGCAGAAGATAATAGCCTTGTAGCTTGATGGAGTGTAAGATAGATGAACTCACAAATGTTCCTATGCACAAAGACTTTGATCCACACATCTTGAATTGATGAAAGTTCAATGCAATGAGTCTTGATCCAAATGATAAACTCCAACATAACCATAAGAAAATAAACCATGATTCACAGACTTCCAGGAAAGTCTTACATCCAACTGTTCATCCTTGAATAAACCAATGGATTGTAATTAGAAGGGAACTCAGATAAAAACCAAACCAATCCCAAAAAGTAAAGGACTAGAAAGCCTAATTCCTTTACTCTTGATGGTCAATGATGGAGAATAGCCTTGGAGCTTGATGTAGAGGAAGTCCAAACTGAACATGAACCAAAAATCTAATTCCACAGTCTTGTACACCAATAAGAAACATAATAGTCCATCTTATTCAACATATACACCTCAAATCAGCTGTAAACCCTAGCTTCATAACTACTCATTTTTTAAACCTCAGGTGCTCCATTTTTATGAAAATGCATGCTATGCACATGACCTATTGGAATGATGCAGATGAATGCAAAGTCTAAGCCAGATAAAAGTATCAATTAGGAGGGAAATTTTGGGGTGCACCACCTTATTCCCGATTGTCTGTCTCGGGTGATACACTCCCCTTGACTAAAGAATTTTGCTTCTTTTCCTTACTATTTTATGTGTGTGCTCTTTCGAGCTTGTTTATTTTATCCTTGTACATACCATATTCCCTTCGGATGTGCTTGCTCCTTTCAGATGCAAGTTAGACCTTAGGTTGAAAACCATGCATGCTAACATTAGGTAGACATTTCCCTTTTGTTAATCCAAATATTAGGACCACCATTGTATGATAACATTAGGATTATAAATAGGCTAGTCTCCTGTAGACTCTTTTCTTCCCCTTTTGCATATATGTATCTAAGACTATAACTTATTTTTAGAAAACCATAAAACACTCTCTAATAACAAAAACACTTTTTAAAGGTAACAAAATACAAACCAATCAAATGTGGCATCTTTCCTTGAGGGCGTAACTTAAAACCATTTTTAGTAAGGACATGATTAATTTACTTCTGTGCCAACGCGCGAGTCTCCAAAGGTCGAGTTGCGGCAGAAGGCGGAATTAAAATTATTCATAAAAAACACCAAACAAACAGAAACATGTGAGCTGAACTAGGATATCTCTGATTCCTCAAAAAGGATACGTATGCATTAGGGTAGGGCCCAAGCGAGCACAACTTTATTTTCCCTACATTATTTTCTCCTTTCTTTTGCATGCATTATTTCTCAGTAGTAAAATAAGCATATATTAGACACACCCTTTGATTAGAACAAGAATATTGGATACTGTAGAGTACTACAGACATGTGGGTTGTTAATACCTCCCCCTTGTGTAACAGACTCCCTTACCCGATCTCTCGGTCGTAATACTGTAACTTCTCCCTTCTAAGGTTTTCTCAATATTTACCTTTCCCTTCATGTGGGATAAAATAAGTTCGATGGTGAGTTCACTGTTAGATGATTTTCAGCCGGTTGTTTCAGCTGGCGACTTCACTGGGGGTAGGTCGACCAAATGCTGGTCCATCCCGGAGTCACTCCTAGATCTTGTTTTCTCTTATTTGGGTGTTTATTTTTTATGCTTTATGTTCATTTATTCATATATTATTACCCGAGCATATGTATGCATTGCATTTTACTATTTTCCATATACTATTGATGTACTGAATTTGCTTCTTGTTGGGTTGGGATGTTAGTATGAGGTAAAAGGCCCAATACCCAGGCCAGGTGACAACCATAGGCACCCTAGGAATAGAGTGGAACATGAACGGATAGTTGACTTAGGTTTTACTATTTCCATTATATCGTCCATGCTCAGATGAGGTACAAATGAGGGGCTATCATTTTTACGTAGGTGATACAACGATAGTTTTTCAGGAGTACCCTTGATTTTGGGTTACCCGACCTTACCCTGACCTAGTTTTCACCCGTGAGAGGGGAGGGACTTAATTATCATAGGTACTGTTGGTGACTTATTCAGATGGTGACTTTGTTCTGATGGCGACCGTATGTTCTGTTGGTGACCATATGGTTCTCGAATTTATTTTCTGAGTTCCTGACTTATTTATTTGGAGGTTCATTTGGGCCTTCAATCTTGGTATTCCCAACATGTTCAGAAAAGGCTCAACAGTATTCGGTGTTCCAGAACCTTGATCCCATACAATTGATGATCTACATGGTACTTGGTCCTTATATGTGTGGAAGCTATGCCAGACCTCTGACCTATTGATATTTATATGGTTCAGAAACAATACAACAATCATATTCATAAGTGATGGAACTTTGATCCCATGTCTTTGCATACATAACATGGTTAAACATATACTTAACATACATGTTTAGTTATTTCTAGGGAATCATATCTGTAAGTCTTGTGCTGAACTTTTCTGTCCATTACCTACGTAAAATCAAAATCAAAACATGTAAATTCCTTGGAAATGATAGAACATGACATGGCATCCATTCATGCACCCCATTCACATTCATGCATCCATACAGGTACTCGAAGATTTGGGATTATTATTCATACTTGGTGTTCTCCTCAAAAGTTCAAACGTAATTTCTTATTGTACGTGTTCAGAGATCAGTATGGGATAACTCTGTGGGGGGTTGACCGATACAAAGATCTCGATAGGGTTGATTGTAGTATACAAGCAAGCTTTAGCCCATGGCCGGGAGTTCTTCAGAAGGAAGATAATCGATTGAAGACGTAGGTGATCCAGGTCATGGAAGCTCTGATGATGATATCAACAATCCTACGCTTACTATCGCAGGAGGTCCTCTCTTTTGCCCATCTTTTGGGAATTGCTTTCAACCATGGAGTGCTACACAATCTTGAGTTCTTGGAATATCTTATCATCCGACAGTTCCCATTTACTATGTGAATTCAAGAAACTTGTTTTACCAGCGAGATCAGAATACGCCTGAAGAGGAGATGATCTTATATCAGTGCTTCATTCTCATTGGTTTCCATAACTGTTTGAGCTTAAGTGGGTTAGACCCCATACTTCAGTACCATCTATAAATCCCCTTCAAGATCATGATACCAACGTCATATGTGGTTACCACGCCAGGGCATCTGACTATTCAATCAAGGGAACTCTCCAAAACTTTGCGTTCCCTGATCTGTTTGACAACAACCATTCTTTGTTCCCCAAGTGAATTCATGGGGTGAAGCTTTTAAGAAAATACAGAAGATGCCTGATAAGCAGGTTGATGAAATCCCAATACATTGCGTCCAATTATTTCCTCACCTGATGGAAGTTCAATTGGTAAAGCTCTGATCTTTGAGGTCCTCCTCCCACAAACATCTCTTCTGATTGTGATATACATGCTAGATATATCCCCTATTCTGGGGCACCCAATTTTGATATTGAAGACTGTAAAGGGGTTGACGTATAAAGTCTATCACTGTCTCGTATCTTCCAAAAGTCTGATTCCTATTTGTCCAACTGCCAGACTCTTCCTCACCAGCTCGATGTCTCTTCTATTGTTATAGAAGAAGAATTGTATTATTTCTTTGTGGAAGTTTATACCAATTCGATTGGTAAAGTATTCATTCTTTGCCTGAAATAATCTTCTATGCATATTACTCTAGGGCACCTGGCCATTCGGTTAAAAATGGCATGTCATCCAAAGACAAGGTCCAAGACTGGATCAATTCAGAGACTGTTATGTTCACATCAAATCATAAAGGGAATTATCTCACCCATTTAAGTATCAAGACTGCAGAAAGCCATCAGAATCAAGAAGTCCATACAGAGTCAGGCCTCCTCAAAGATGGCAATCATTGGTTTCTTTACTACATTTTCATTTGTATTTTTTCTTGTTTGTTTAAACTTTACTTGCATGTAGAAACCTGTCTATTTTTTAACGAAAATCTTAATGCAATAAGTATGCTTGTCTTGAAGTGTTCCTTTCGTTTTTATTCATTCATTCGTTATCATTCTTTAAATGTTTTACTTGCATATTGATTCCAAGTTTCCAAGTCTTATGCTTAGGAAAAT